AAAAAAAAATTATTGAATTGGAATAGTCCACTGAAAACGAAGGAGTTCGCAAAACCACATTATTAAAATTTGGCACAAAGCAACAATGCTCAAATCATCAATGTAGACATGTTCAAACCTTGGTCTCGGTTTCTCTGGCAGACGGTTGCTCCCGAGTCGCTCCCTGAAAGGAGAGCTGCCGACTAGACTGGTCTGGAAAGTATATGATGACACGTATGGGTAACTGTGAATGGTAATGATCAAGCTGATGAGAATATATATGTATATGTATATATATATATATATACACACATATATATACATATATATATATGTATCCGTTTAATGCGATATTCAACATTAAAAACGTCGCACTCGTAAGGCATTAGATCGTATGTAAAACGAGAGAAAAGTGTAGATCAAACATCGTAACATCTCACGCATAAACGGATAAGCTCGCTAAAATCATAGATGCACATTCAATGCAAAAATATCAAGCACGATCACAGTTATCGTGATATATTGTATTGTGTAAGCTGCTTGATCATTCCAAGTAACATGTATCAAAGAAGCGATTCTATCGAAACTCGGATATGTCTAACGAACATCGTGAAGGTCAACTAAAATTGCACCAGTAGAGATCATTTCACATCGAGGAGCGAGAGATTTTTTTTTAATCAAGACACTTCGATGTTAATGAATTGATTTCCCCGCGGTCGAAAAATTCACCGTCTCGTAAAATTCTCTCCCTTGCTGCAACTTTGCTTCACGGAACTCGCAAGTTGGGAACAGTATACTGTGCACGATAGTCCGTAGAATCGAAGGCTTTCTCAAATTTCAAAGGCTTTTTTGAAATTTCTTATTGTCCTGCTCGTAATTAACTAGTCGCAAGCTCGTTCTTGAACGAGAATCTCAACGAGAACTTAGCTGGACTCAGCGTATCAAGGCTACAGGAGGGGAGGATGTACCTGGTTAGTGAGGAATATCAGGCTCGTGCTGTGCCTGCGTCTGGTCAAATGAGAGGCAGGATCTCTTGGAGGGACACCACCTAGAGCTGTGGGGCTCTGAAACATATCATGCTGAATACCCCTCCCCGTACAAACATTCCAGCTACAAGTCTCTCTCTCTCTCCCTCTATCTATCGCACATACGTATACGTATATATAATATTGAATTTGTAAACCTATTTGTTCGTTGATCTTGTAACTGAATATGTAATATTGAGAATTTGTAATTTTCATTTCCTGTCAACGCACGCGTGTTTTCACAGATACTTTGATATGTATCTCGGAACGATCGTATGTAATATATAATTGTAATGTACAAGTATTATATCGTCAAGTAGTAAATTAATACTGCTGAATGTTGCTATTGTACATATTATTGCTGACGTTAACGCAATGTGTCGAAAGAAGCTATATAAAAAGCCGTGCATTTTATATCTTGGTTTTAGTTTCTTATTTTATGTTTCAATGAATTCTCGTATTCCTTCTCCAGCATGTTATACAGCACGTCGCGATGCCATATTTACAAAATTAGATTGTCAGATCGTTATTTGCTAGAAAGATTTTTATGCTAAATATGCTGACAGAGACTGCATAATTCAGAAGTTAATGTAAGATGTAAATAATTAACAAAAGCATTAAAATAAATCTGCGAAAATCAATTAAATATGAGCATGCAACATTCAAGTATAAAATAGAGGAGATATTCCAGAAAATATCATTTTTATATCATATTTCCTCATATACGTATAAGAAAAAAAAATTGTCTCCGAAAAATTCTTACTCTTGTAAGCTGAAAATATGTTTTTTGTATCTTTTTTGTCCAAATTAAAAAAAAATATATAGAATAACTCCCCAAATAGTATAACATTATACAACAAAAACTATCAAGCTTCAAATATTATGTTAAGTAGAATAAAATAACTGCAATTAAAATGCCTATAAATATAATCAGACGTTCCAAAAAGAAATTATTGGCAGTGCATAGAAATCTTTCACACAACAAAATTTACATAAAAAAATTTAATTAACAAGTTCTCGTTAATGATAAGACGACTTTCAATCTCTTTCCAGAATAAGATCTTGTTAAAATGCGATTACTTTTTGCAACGTCTCCTAATCTATTACAGTTAATTAGACAGTTAAAACTCTTGTTGGAATAAGTAATTCAAAAATTATTAACTTTGTCTCTATTCATTTACTGAAAATTAGAAATGAAGAGGTTACCCAGTTTTTATTGGGGTTTGGCCGTCGTATTTTGTTCAGCCACCCCTCGATGAAACGCAGGAAACCGTCCATCAATGATGCCTGCTCAGCATTGCTGGGCGGTGTGTATATGTCGCATCTCGAGGAACCCTCCAAAATTTTGCGGGTCGCATGATTGTGAAGTGGCAATAAAAATACCCGAAACCTCCAATATTTGAGAGCCTTTAAAAATACAAATGCACGTGTAAAAAATTAAAATTCAGATATTCTATTTATGCGTAAAGCTGGTTTTATCCAAATGCACATACTTCCACTAAAGCGAAATCGGTGTGGCCTCGTGTGCAAATATAATGATCCAGATAGTTCCAGTTGTAAGTCTCGAGTTTCTCTGTCGTGAAAGACACCCACGACACTTCGTACGTGTCATGATGCGGAGCGTGGAACCGATATCGATAGTGAATATTGAAAGGTGGATAAGGATGCCTGTTGTATCACAATTATATTATATTATTACAGTATTTGTTTGTCAAATTCCAGTGTAATTAATTAGTCAGTAGAAGACTCCGTAGTTGATAAAATTATTTACCTCGGACGATACCTCGTGACTGTTATAGAATTATCGAACAGAGATATCTTATGAAAAATTCTTCCAATGCTAAGCAGATATTCTTCTTTAGGTTCGGACTCGGTCTGCCTGCCGCGTATTACTGTACTAATCGACGCGGCGACATTGCTACCAACCACGTTGCTTTGATTTTTGTTAACCGATGGTAAAATTATTAACTGGAAACCCTTGATAACGCAATATTTACGGTTATTTTTCGGTGTATAAATCGATACAATTGCATTCAACTTAATTCTCTATTTATACCTGAGCCAAGCGCTGTGAAACCAGCTCTTTAAACACTTCTACGGTTGTGAGCGGTTTTTTGTATATCGCTCGTTGTTGAGCAAAATCAGCGTTAACGTCGTCCGGAAGCAGATTATAATCTGACACGACGTAATCATTTTGCAAACTTCGCTTGTCCGGAAAGTAATCTGTAGTGATAGGTAGGCACGCGGGAATCGTTAACGATTTCCAATCGACTCCTGTTCGAGCAAGGTTTTAAAAGTGATTAAAGTGATTAAAGATATCGCGCATCTATACAAGAAGAAACAGATAAATTTTTGGGCCTATTGAATTTGTACTCGTAGTTATAAAAAAAAAACTGCATAATTTTAGAAATAACATGTCTTAATATTTGATATTGTTTCTTTTCAATGTTTCATATTATTAAATATCTATTTCTTCGTCATAATATTATATAATCACAAAGAATGGGTGCTCGATAAGATATCGCTTGTTGCGAACAAATAGAAGTTGTAGAAAAATCGTATTAAATGATGCTATTTATATTTGAGTTCAAATGAAAATTCTATCATATAACAATTGTTGCTTTAAAAAAATATACTTTGCAATAAAAACCTTTCTAAACAATATTCTGAACAGTAATTGTGTGAAATAAAATTTTTAGAAGTGTTAGATTATCGAGAATCCACTACATTGTTCGATTTAACGCCCCTTTAACCCAATATAAATTATTTTTTCTCATAACGAAAACTACTAATACTAAATAATCTCGATTATACAGAATGTTTTAAAATATGCTAACCACATATTCTGCAAAAAATTGCTTAAAACGTTCATTGTAATCTAGATTTACTTCATTGGTTTTTAAAGCGTTTATATACATACGAAGAAATGAAAAAATTTAAGTTAATTTCAATTTAATTGAACAATTGTTTACTTTTATTCAAAAACTTTTCAAAACATTCTGTACATTAAATTTAATCTTTATCATATTGAATCATTTATCCATCAATAAGTTCAATTGCTACAAAGATGCACTACTGAATATGCATTTGATACTTGTATTTGTTCAGTGTGTTGTAAAATTATATATGATAAAGATTAAAAAGTTGAAACACATGCTGTTTAACAATTATTAGTTAATGTGCTCGTAACAAATATTCTACGAATAGTGATATGTCAATTTTGTGTTATTGAGTCATATAGCAGATATCTAATAAGTTTAGAATATAGATATGTATGCATTATTCATTTTATACTGGTGCAATAAAGTTACTCGATTATGTCACAGAACTACAGAAAAGAGAGAATATAATGTAATAAGCATCTATAAACAACTATGTATCATGTAGATATGCTTTAACATCGTATAAATGTGAAGAACTGAGGCTGATATTGCAGAATACTAGCGAGAAGAGACACACATAAAATCGTACAAGAAAAGAATATTAATAATGCAAAAAGACATAAGCATGTGAGGTAAAGCTAAGTGATAAACACAAATTGTGAAATGCTTAGCAAACGATAAGCAACAGCCTGCGCGATAAATGAAAGGAAACTGAAAGCTATTTTAGCGGTCACATTAGGCTTCTATATAAAAAGACACACCGAGAATATGAGAAGTGCGTTTTACACTGCTTGAAAATAAAGAGAGAAAAGAAATTTTTAAAAGTTACTGCACATATATATTACACATGCACAACATGTATGGAAAACAATTATGGCGAAGAAATGGTGAAGAAGAATTGTGAAGAACTATGTAATATATTAATAATTTCTACTTCGAACTAACGTCCCTAATAACAGACAAATGTATACCATAACCGAATCAATTCCTGATAGTGTATGGCGCTAACCTATGATTGCTGTAAAACAGCATAAGTGACATCATAGTTGTACATCACACATGTATCAATGCGTCCAGCGTTGCATCCCAATTAGACGTACCATAGCATGGAAGTAAATGTAACAACATTATTCATATTGATAATGGAGAGGGTCTTGTAAAAATAAATATCGATATTTTTAAGAATGAAAATATTTTTTCTGCAAACTGCTCGTAAATGTTTGGAAATCGTCCAATGATGCAGCGAATATGATTTTATGAGAACGGAAATATAACTGCAAGATAGTGTTAAGCAAAGCTGCTATAAAGAAATACTACTTGTTCACATTGAACAAATGCAGAATTAAATAAAAAAATGGATTGCAAAAAAAATGTTTAACGCATCATAAAATACTCCTTGTATTACATACATTGAGTTTTGAATTGAATAAAAAAAAAATTATGAATGATATTTTGATAGTATTTTCGCTTTGAAAATGCCGCTTTCAAGTATTTTCATTCTTTCATAAATCTTATAAATCGTGATGGCCTATTAATCTTTTTTGATATTAAACATGTAAATGTAATTAAAAGTCTAAAACGTGACGTAACGTAATGTAAATGTAATGTGTATATAATATATATATATAATTTAAAAGTAGTGTGTGGTATACATTCATATGTAACATTATATTTGTATATAAAACACAAAGGGAGGAAATTAATTTTGATTATTCAAAGCTACACTATAATTTGGAGCCAAAACTAAAACTGCTCCTCTGCTTATTATATTAATAAGCATATCACTCAAATTACATCAAAAACTGAGTAAATTGATTAAAGCACAATGCGCGCAAAAAGCATCATATAACTTATTAGACATTGAATATTAAAATTGTGTGTATTACATAATGTAACTTGTTACTCAATCTCGAATAATAAATCTCTAAATTTCGGACTCATGAAGAATTCTCTCTTTAAACTGTAAGGTTATTGAAAGTCGATAACTTTGTTGCATTTTTAGAATATATATACATGAAATTATTAAATCTCATAGTATTTATGTTTTAATTTAAAATGTCTGTATTAATTATTTAGACGACAAATTAGTAATTATGGAAAAAAGTATTAATAAATTTTTGGACATGATAATGTTCCTAATACCTCTAGCATTCCCTGCAAAATATGTCAATAAATTCAGATAATAATCAGAAACACTAAAGCAAACCTGTTGTAAGAGCAGGCGTCCACTCTTGCTCACCAGTGGCACCCCACAAAAGAGTCAAACTCTTATTCGCCATAGTTGAAGAAGGATTTACAGCTTTCTCTCCATTAGCTGTAGGATTGGAACGCAATGGCTTTCCTTTTGTATCTGGAAGAATAATAAATCTCATTATTTACTGGATTTCTTATTTTTATGTACTTTAAAAGATGCTTCAAGTTAATGACACTAAATACTAACGATCTTGAAATCCTGTTTGGGACGCTGATCTCGAAATCTGATTTGCATTGTTCGCTCCAAGTTCCATCGGTGATCCGCTCAGGGTTGATGAAGTAATCTCACTTTGTGACTCCGAGCATGTTTGTGTCGGAACAGCTTGATAGTGATGTTGTTGTATCAGCACTCCTGTTGGTCCTAGAATTATGTTGATATGTTAGTTCATTGTACGTACAAATTTATGATTTTCCATTCATTCATATCAATTTTATATTTACAAAAAAATTATATTTAACAATATAAATTATTTAATAATATAAAAAGGGTTCTATACTTGCCTTTCGGAAATATGTGAGTCCACCTTCGTCTATTACTGGTAAGTTTAATGGTGACGTGCGATGGATCGAAAGGATTGATTAATGCTCTGCCAGGTCTAAGTATATTTGTTGGTTGAGAAATTGAATTCGTCGGACTACCAGCACTACCAACAACAGGCCTAAAAGGCGGAGATATCTCCGAATCCGTCAAATCATTCTTAATTGGTGTTCTAGATACACCTAACACAGTTAAAAGAATCATGTAATAAACGTCTTAATGATGAAAAATTCATTACCAAATATGCCCACCAGTTCTTTCGCCATTAGATTCGTTATTATCGTCGTCAATTTTATGTGGAATCGTTATCGCTGCACTCCGTGACGTAGCAACTGGTGGCGAATGTGTCTCAGGTGGAGGATGATGTATATCAGGATCCGACATTTTACGTTTCAAGAGCTTTAACAAATGACCATTGTTATGTGTTTCAAGACACGCTACACTCGTCTTTTTCGTTCTTGTACTTATTCTTTGTACGCTAGAAAAAAAAGATAATGAGATATATACATATATATCAATTTAATGAGCATGACAATCTGTCACTAAAGAAAAAAATTTAGGATTTATTATGCAATGCATAAGTTAAAAAATAATACATTTATTTACCTTGAAGTATGAACTGTTGGCAATTGGAACACTTGTGCGTCGTAAGCATCATAATCGAATAAAGTATTATGTAGACATTCCCTTGAATCTTCCTGCAGAAGTCTAGTTTTGCAATTTAATTTTCCATTATCTGCAAGATGCTTCGACACCCTTTGCGGCAGCTTGATTCGCGGTATAAATGTAGAATAGGGAATCTTTTTGTTAGTGGAATAAAAACTAAGATTTATCCAGTGAGGCATGCTGTAGTCATCCGGTGCATTAATAGAAGAATCTTTATTATGGAACTGAAACAAGAAATATTATGCATTATTTTACTACATAACAAGTTATGTGTGCATATGTGCACGTATTTGCTCTCATCGCACTTTTAATAAAGGAACTGCATGAAGTGGCTGCTCTCCAACGCATACTAAATCACTGCCTACACCATTATCAATGATTCTTTGCTTTGTCACATTTGTCAGCTCTCTGTCAACTTCAAAAACTCCAACTCCAGGAGTAATCACCACAGATAACTGACCAGTTCTGTCAAAACTGCGGTCCAAGTAGTGTTTCTCAAAAACTATGAAAATGTGACAATTAAAACAAAGCTGTAAATTTTTCTTTCATTATTCCTCACTTAATACTTACCATTTAGAGACATATTTAACACTTCCAGAAAATTGCCTTGCGCAGCGGTGGAATTCACTGCTTTGGGCATAGTAGTGCCCGGCTTTTGGTGATACTCCAAAACAATTTTTTGATAATCAGTAAACAGTTTGCGTAATTGTACCAAGATATTACTCCAATCCTCAAATCTTTCATTCTGCACTGCAACTCTGTAAAAATCTTCATAAAATCTCCCTCTATAATCATGTTGCAAGCATTCTCTCATATGATTTGGAAATTCTTCCAAGCTAGTCGCATTGTAGAAAGTCCTCGAAAAGAGTACAATTGTAACTTCATGATTGCTGCCATTCTTCTTCCATTTTTGAAACAAATCTGATAAAAATCCATTGACTGCTTTCTCAAAATAAAGATCTCCATGTATATCAAAATCCCACATTTCAGAACTCATTTGAATAAACAGATATACCATACTTGTAGAAGAACGAAATACTATCTAGAAATCATAGTTACTTTTATAATAGAGTTCAGAGTTCGATATAATATGTAACATAATTTTGTGCAAACCTTAGTATCGTCTGTTATAACACCGCAGGCAACACGATCGCCCTGTGACCACATTTCATGCACTTGACATCTTAAGCAGGCGCCACAAAACTCTATTTTCTTATTAATATAAACGCAAGTGTTCACCTGGAAAAAATAAAAGAAGTTTATATAGATATACAAAAGATATCAATTGAAATATAGATGTAGAATAAGAAATACAATACCAAGCTGTTCTTTAAACGCCACATCTCACTGCGCCCCATGTACTGGTCTTTGAAAGTCAATTCTATAGAATCTAGAGCTACGTCTTCTGGATTGACTATATTCATATATACATCGGCAAATGTTCTTAACTGGAACATCGAGGCTACGTTATTCTCCACACTAATAGTCTCACGTCCTTGAAGATCCTCCTTGAAAGAGGTAACTTGCAACAATAAGCGACTGAACTCATCTTCTGAATGATAGATTTCCACGACATCGCCAGTTTTTATACCAGGGTAATCTTTCGGATTGATTATTAGATCTTCCCCACTAAAATTCTTTTGATGCACTATCAATTTAAAGAGCTTCATATCTCATTCTGAGATATGTGATATTGAATTTAAGTTGTGTGCTTCTTGTACATAATGAAATAAATTATATTTTAGGAACTATTCAATTAGGCAGACGACCCTATTATTTACACATATTTTATATTAAAACTTTTCCAAACATTTATATCATCACAGTGACAATTCCTATCAGATGTGCTTGCAAGTGTTATCAGAAGAAAACGGTTTCTCACGTAGTACCGATGAAATATATTCCATGTATCTCGCCTAACCTTACGAGAACTCTTGTATGCTCGCATTGAAAAAAAATCGTTATACGCTAACGCCCTCTGAATATTGAGGTTGAAGCGAGAAACAGTAGCACCAGGCACAATCCAAGCATTATTTTTGAATATCCTTATGCTCTCATTAATTTTGCATTGATAAACGTTAGCTATACTTTCAACATGTTTAATATTGTATAAATAACAACTGACTTCTTAATATTTGCCTAAATTATCACACAGTTAGGTCATCAATATTTTTAATAAAGTAAATATGTAAAATTATTTTTTCTAACTTGTTCGATAAAAGAAAAACTTTTTATAGATTTTTATTTTATATTTTTTATAGATTTTTTTATAGATATTTTTTTTATGGAAAGTGCTAAGTAAAACGCATTATTTGTCGAAAAAATATTTTAATAAAATCAAATAGTAATAATACAAAATAAATATTTACATAATACAATATGTTGTACAATAAATATTACAATATATTATACAATACTTTGACAAATTTTTAGTGCATGTAAGATAAATGTCTCAGAAGCCGGACAAGTAAGAGTTAATTATTAAATATATAATTTTTTTTTTATTTTTCTGAATATATAATAAAAATTGAAGTTGATCTAACAAAAACAAACTAAAATTATAATTAACAAACGACAATTATTAAAATTAAATATTTGCAAAAAATATGGATATTTATAAATACCAGTTTTTGTGGCCATTATATTTATAAATATTTATAAATTGTTTTTTATATATAGTTGAAGATTGAAATATGTTTAGCCACTGAGACATTTAGCTTATTACATTTTCTCTTAACAAAAATTTAATAATTAAAATTTGAAACAAAAAAAAAACTGTTGAAATGTTACTTATATGCAAGAAACTTCTTCCACTCTCGCAAAAGAGAATCTTGCTGTTTGCCCACCCAAAGTTTTGTCATTATGTTTGTTATCAATAAACTGCAAACTAACTGCCAAAGCAGAAGTTTCAAAGTTTATCGACAGCAAAGAATAAAAAAAAAAGCAGTATAGAAGTAATAAAAAGTTTTAAAATCCTACCTATTCGAAAACTCTAATAGAAAATCCTACCTAATAGAAATTCTATACTTAGGAGTTCGTACAAGAAACCGTAAATCGATAAGGTTTAATGAGGTTGAATTTTTCATGGAACCGTTTGGGAATTTTTCGCAAGATGCTTAGCGCAGAGCTCAGCTCAGTTACCGCTATTTGCATCTGAAATTCAAGAGGGAGTTTTTCGCAGGATGCTTTAGCGCAGAGCTCGGCTCAATTACCGCTATTTGCATTTAAAACCTGAGAGCCACTCGGAGTTTCTCACAGAACGTTAGCGCAGAGCTCGGCCCAGTTTCCGCTAATTGCGTCCGAAATTTGTGTTGATAGTCGACCATTGTTCAATGGTTGATCGTATCAACGTCATTTCGAGATCCGTGCTCGACCATCATTGATGAAACTACGAATTTCGAATTTCCGTGCTCAACCACGGGATCAATTAAGCCATGGGACCACGGATGCATGGATAAGCTAGGAAAGATTACGAGGAAATTGGCGTATAGCAAAAATTCATATATATTTAGTAATGATTAATTGTATATAAATGCGTTATTTATTGAATAAATTATTTCAAATACTCGTATAATGTCAATTCTTCAATTATGTTTCTGCAAAACATATGCTTCTTATTTTTAATACAAATTTTTTATACGTATTTGCAATATATATGTATGTATTTTGAATTTCTTTGACTTGCTTTCACGTCAATTTGAACAAAATTTAATCCTGAATATAAAAATGCAAATCGCTTACCTTGTTCAAGGAAAAGGAAGAAAACAAAGTTTTTTAATTTTTAATTTAAAAAATTTTTTTCTCGTATAAAAATATACATGACTAAATGAAAAAATAAAAATAAAAATGTTATTCGAAATTATTATTATATTATTTTTTCTCCTTTTGTTATATAATTCCTCGTATATATAAAAAATATAAAAAAATTTAAATAAATACATAAGTAAAGTTAAATACATCAATCAAGTTAATCAAAATATATTGAGTTATTCGAAGAGTTCATAGCAATTTTTATGACAAAATTAAAAGCAATTTTTATATGTTTAAATCCATTTTTATTCAATAACGTATGCACACACATTCGCGAATGATATTACAATGATCACACGATATTTTAGACGACACTCCCGACGCGTATTTTGTCATGTTAGGACAAAAGTAAAACTCGAATATCGCTCGCACGAAATACGCGTTCGACATCCTACCGCGTACGCAACAGGTAACGATGGAGAGAGGGAGGAAGGTGGAAAACTGTAAGGAGCAATAAGGATTGAAGTAGGGGAGGATAACGTGCCGATACGCGAAACGGCCTGTCTCGTTCAAGTGCCGCCGTGCGAATAGTAAAATCCAAGAGCAGGGATAAGGTCACGTTGGGAAAACTACTTGGAAGGAGTAGGGGAAAGGAATTTGCGTGCCGATAAGGCGCAAGAGAGAAAGTGTGAGAGGAAGAGAGGATATAAAGTACGTAGGCTACACCGCGTACGTAAACAACCCCACCAAACTTCCCTCTGCCGTGAGTCAGCGTCGAAATTTCTAATATGATATACAAGACTTTCCACATTACAAGATATTCTTTGGCGTTCAGAATTTTAATTTTGATAAGTAATTTACTATTTTATTTTTCGTCTTCTATAGTATTTTATATCGTATTGTATTTTTAAAATTTTTACCTGTAGATTTATCAGCCAGTAGAATAATCTTAAAAATTAATTTTACTTGGTCAAAAATTCCACGTTTTGAAGCTCTTTGAGCGTTTTTCTATTTCGTATTACACAAATGAATAAATATACGAATAAAAATTAAATTAATAAATGTACACGTAATAAAAATGTCATGGAACACGTCGCTTTGCGTGAACACGGCTGTTTACGCAATGAATTTTGATGAAATAAGTCTTTCGAAATACGTGATTTAATCGATGTACAATGCGAAATTTATGTTACACATTTCTGATTTATTGAAATAATTGATATAATTTGTATTTTCCATTCTGTATTATTCATTTTAAATAAATCAATCGCGCAAAATTCCTTCTTTTATGATAGATAGCTACTCCATGCTTGAATATTTATTTAATTTTGATAGTTATAAATTTGTATAAATATAAGTAATTCTTTAAACCCCGCGTATTTTGCAAAATTTATTTCATCGAGATTTATTGCGTGAAAAGTCGGCACACATACACATACAAAACAATATTTCTTTTTCAAACATTTTATTTCGAGGATATTCATTTTTAATTTTAATTTATGTATTTATTCACTTATATAAAAAATATAAGATAATGAAACGTCTTAAATGTATTAAAATGCGGAATTTTAATGCAGTAAAATTAATTCTTATTTTAGACAAGGCTAACGAGTTTAAAGTAACACTGCAAAAATTCTGATAATAATTTATTTATGACATTTTACATATTTATTTACATTTGTACGTTATGATATGAGATAAAGAAATACTGACAATAAGATAAAACGCGAACATATTAATGAATATACTTCTTTTTATATGCATAAAACGCAGAAAGCATACTCAAGTAGTTTAGGCGTAGCACAAACGCGACACAGACGACGTACAAAGTTAACTGCACGACTTTTTATTTTTCTTTGCTATCGTGGATTGTTGTCGTGAATGTTGAATGTGCAATCATGTTTTCAAGCTGTTTCTTTATCGTTTGATAATAATTAATTGAATTTTTGCGAATATATCGTATTATTATAAAATACTAACAATGAAAGAAAGAGAAAACATTGTTTAAAGTTTTCAATTTGTTTTATATCGCTACAATATGCAGTATAAAATAAATGCTAAAATGACAGTATAAAATAGATAAAGATATGGTATAAAATAATAATATATTTAATAAAATTCTATTTAGAAAATAATTACTATTAAAATTTTACTCATGCAGTTATGCATATAAAAAGAAGTACCTATATTCATTAATATGTCGCGTTTCATCACATTGACAGTATTTCTTTATCTCATATCATAACGTATAAAAATAAATAAATATGTGAATTTTCATAAATAATCATAATTTTTGCAACGTTATTTTATAGACTCATTAGCTTTGTCCAAGATAAGAATTAATTGAAAAAAAATAACAAGAACATCGTGAATATAAATTATTAACATCTTATTATGCAATAATAATGTATATTTTGTGATCTTTATATCGCGTATCATTCGGTGCCGTTTGTGCCATTTTTGTTAGCGTGAAGCATCTTTATTAAGATTTATCTTATGACGATGTTGAATAAAAAGGTATGAGAAATATTTACAGAATTAATGGCAATTGATAAGTGTATTACTAGAAGACAAACATACGCATTTGTATATAAATTAATTAAATATATTGAGCTGTTTGCAAGTTATCATAGGTTTGGCCATGTATTTTTTGTATGACATAGCAATAACAGAGAAACAAAATTGCCATCGAAATCTACTGACAGTGGAAAAGAAAAAGCATGGGGAAATGGTGACGTTTCTCACGTGATAAGAAATTGTTATAATAATATAAATTTATTGCTCAAAAATTTTTTGACTGTCGAAAGATATTTTATTTTGCACAATCAATGTACATCGGAAATAAATTGAGTACAGTCATTACACACTCACTATTCAGAATAATTTGTATAAATACTTAACTATGTTAACAAACATTTTCGTAATAATTTTGAGAACATTTATTCTCTTTACAAAAACGTGACATACGTATAATTTTGTACAACTGGATTTATTTGCTACAAATGTTACAAATTGTTGATTCGCCATCATTAAATGCATAATTCTCATATTAAAACATACATATATCCTTTGAATAAGTCATCTTGACTTGATATAAATTTATTAGATGTTTTCATTAAATTATGACATGCAAAAGACAAGTCATTTAACGAAAGATTTTTTTATCATTATTCAAATTCTTTCACTTTTTTCGCATATATGTATATGCATATATGGAGATAAGAAAAAATTCACATATATGTATGTATACGTATATATGATCAAGCATTAAAATTGTCGATAATTAACACCATTGCCGCGTTTATAAATGTATGCATCAATGTTATCGATCTACATACTGAGTAAATAAATGGATGAGTACAAGATGGCATTATAGAATTGCCATGTGACTGTCGGAAGAAAGAAAGATTCGCTTTGCTATGTAATACAATTGTAAGTGTATTACTGATGTTTTATAATCAGACGTTTCTCGAATTAGTACTAACAAATTCGTGTGAAACTCTTAATTAAGTGTTATTCTATAGAGCGGCTTCTAATCTTTTTATTTCTTTAGAAATCTCCGTTTTTCGCGCCACTTTATCAAGTATTTCCTTATCAGCATTTTTCAAAGAGCCAGTTTTGATTTTCTCCTCCAATATTTCGATTTCCCTAATTTTCTTGCGCAAATTCTTTAATCTCTTTTGCGGATCAACAGACGTCTTCTGTGTAGTATTTGAATTTTCCTTAATTATATTGTTTGTTGTTGTGTGTTTTGTAGTAGACAGTGGCTTATCATTATGAGTTGGAACTTCTTTATGAAATTCAGGCTCCGAGATTGTGATTTTGGACAATCCTTCTGTAACTGGCTCAACAGTTTTAGATTTATTTTTCTTTCTTTTCTTCTTGGATCCCTCTTGAGGTTTTGGTTGTGAACCAGGTATTACTTTATTCTTTGCTGCTAGAGCCTCTAACTTGGCCTTATGTTCAGCTATAAATTCTGGACTGGCACCCACAGGATATAAAGGCTTCTTTACCATTTGCTTCCCTTTACTTTCATATCTATAAAAGGAATTAATAATATTTAGTGATAAAAAACAATATACGACGTTAAAAGCAAAAGCATTACGAAACGTACAGTGGAACTTCTTCTTGAGGAATATATCCATCCTTCACACGCCGTTGCTTACGCCATGTGCCATCAGGTCGTTGGCTCGCTGGGATAAATGTGCCTGAAATAGAATGTGAATGATTATATGCTTTCATCGTTAGATGAAATGTTGATACTGGCAGTATAATTATGAATAAAAATATTTCCAGTTTATTGAATTAAAAGGAACGTTTTACTTAACAAAAAAAGTGCGTAAATCCCAGTGTAAGAATCATGATGAAAATATGCTGTGGTCTGGTGAAAAGTCGACTATCTAACTATAGCCCATAAGAAAGAACGATCTATTATTACACGAAGCCGATCGTTTTACACTTGTTTACATGCTCGAGGTTAGAACCGGTGTGCAATCGACGGAGTTGCATCCGAGTGCAATACAGAGAATAACTGATCCTCACTTACCCGTCTCGTCTTTGATGTAAGTTGACGCCATCGCTACGTCTCTCACGAGAGCGTTCGTGAAAAATATAAATAAATGTAAATGTCTCACAACTATCCGCGTGCCATTCTGCTGTTCTGTATTGTATAAAATAGAGCTCTGAATCTTCAATGATCTGTATGCGTGCGTGTTAATCGCAATCAACTACTTCACGCAAGACCAACAGATGACGCTAGTGTTCAATTTTAGAAAGCAATTCGACGGCCTATTTTTTTATCAGTTTATATTGATTGCAGTAAGAAAGAAGTCTATTTCATTAACAAACGTGCCATTTCTTTCTCTTTCAGGAATTGTTGATGATAAAAATGATTCTCTTTTTATGAATTTTATAATTAATGAGAAGCTTTCCAATGAGAACTTTCCAATTTTTCAATCTATAATTTTGTAACCTGATATATTTTGAAATATTAAAAGAGTATAAATTTTTCTGAAAAATGATTTAAAAAATAGTAGTTCAGAGATATATAATTTATTTTAATATTACAATTATTATAGCTTCTAATAATTTTTTTTTATTTTTTTGTAAAACATCCTTATATTATAGCAAGCGACGATGATAATAATGAAGATACTAATATATTCGTTTGATATGATAATTTTATATAATTTATGCATATGTGTATGTTGAAAAGAACATAATATTCATAGAATAATTATATTGTGTCGAGTACTATTACCCAAGCAATTTATTTTACAAACAAAATTTCTCAGTGTTATTTCTTTTTAACATTTCTCATTTTATTTTTTCTACAAATGTATTTACTTACAAGATATTTTTTAATTATTAAAAATTATACATTTTACGACGCTAAAAAAGTTTACTTTGAATACCAATTTTAGAAAAGAAATGTAAAATACGAGTACAGATTTGAAAAAAAATAAAAAAATAAAAAATTTCGCTCTTAAGATAAATAATCGGGACGTTTCAGACATTTTGTTTAGCAAATAATTTGATTCCAACTTTTACATTCAGCGTATGCGAATGAGAATCGAAGAGGAGAACAAAAACACGGACACGGATATCTCAACATCGACTCGAGGAGTAAGCGGTCCCGTGGGTTACCCCTTGATCTAGCCGGGCTGCTTCCGTATATTCCGGGGATGCTGCGCGCGCGCACCGGGGGTTGCGTTCTGGTCTCATCTCAGTTTCGCAGCCTCCCTTTCGCGACCCGTATCAAGTCCGCCGCGGCTCAATCAGAGGTGTGTGCCAATTCCCGTAATCCGTCGTCCCAGGTATTCTGCGGGTGTCACCGGGCCTCGCCAATTGTTATCGCGATCCCGGACGGCTTCGAGTGGTCATCTCCCTCGTCCTGGATCATGCTCGATCCGGATGCATCGCCCGGAAAACGAAAACTGTGATCGGTACGTAGCCGCATACGGTTTCTTCGTCGCAGCTGCAAAGCCCTCCTCGCGCCTTTGCAACGATAACTCGACGGCTGATCCGATTCTGAATGTAGAGCGTAATCGCACCGGACTTCCAGGATGTATATATTTCTCGTATTATCTCACACGGCGCTCTAAAGGTCACTGCATGATATATGAAAAAAATGGAATCGCGCGGTATACATACCGCTCGATATAGGTTCAAAGGCTGGCTACTTCCTAAGGTCAGGAGTAACGTAGTGAATAAACTCAAATAGTCTGCGATGTGCTGATATAAGAGACGCCGTCGGCTTATGTAATTATCGCTGAGCAGCAATCAGTTTGGTCTAAAAGTTCATGGCGGTCAATCGATGTAAATGTATTTTCTTGCACTGACATAAATTTACATACATAGTACGGTTTTGATAATGCATCCAGGCGGATATAAGTCAACGGATATATACGGGAATGCAAATCTGAATTCTGAAAATTCTAATTTCTATTATATTGAATGCTAAGTTATACGCTTGCGAAATTTCAAACCATAGAATATTTAAAGCACACTATTTATAAAGGTTGAAATGTATTATTTATCTTATAACAACAGATGATTGCACGAAACAGCTGAAATTACAGGAAATTACAATTGAAGGTGATTTTTGAACAATTAAGCATTTCCGCGGAAACGAAAGTGGCGTTTAGAGAAGCAAATGCACATTGCGTTATCGTTCCTCATCAAAATCGTAAATGAGGCAAAGTGCTTTAGGCACATCCTGTCTATCGATTTTCGACGATCAAAATTACATGCGTGCGGAGTTCAAAGCGCTATGTTCAAGCTATTGAGAGGGATCAATGGAAAGCCATTGTCCGATCGCAATTTTATCTACTATTATGTGTTACAATGTAACGACCACAGCTTCCATTAGATAATTTCCAGCGTTCCCTTGACGAGTCGCGTTTCGCCGCCCGTTACATCAATTTTTCTTTGATTTCCTTTTTTTTTTGGAAAAAGCCGCGAAACAAAGAGGTACAAATATGCAAAGCCACTTTTTCAGGAATCTAAAATTCTACCAACCGCCTGGGACATAAATAATGCAAATTGTATAATACGATACGTAGATGGTGGGATGAACAAATGAAAATTGTATGTGCAAGTATAAAGCTACTTAATTTTCAATTAGTCGGGATAATTGAATTTCTAAATTTAGTAAAAAATGTTCGTGGAATCATCCTGTCTGCTAGATGCGTCGCGATCAGTCAGAGGATCAAAACGAAGGATTTACAGAGCCGCGCCGCGGTGTGCTGAACGGCTTTACCCAAACTGCGGTCCTGAACCTTGCAGCCTTCTCCTCCTCCCTCCCCCCCCC